AAGTAATGGGACTTTTAAGTAATGGGAGACAAGAGTAGAAAAGAATGTGTAAGAGCCAAAATTTTTATAGTATGATTGCCTTTTTTTTTCCATTGGATATCTTGGGCTGCCACTCGCAGTCTATTATTGTGGTAATTATTCTGAGCAAGTTAGAAGCAATTATTAGAAGATGAAGCAGATAGAAGCAACCTGAAAGCAACAAGAATAAAAATCTGAAAGACTAATGAGAAAACAGATGCAAACATAGCAGAAAATGTAAAACCAAAACACTTTTATTATGTAAGGGTGTCCCATATTAGAATTGTTTATTATAAGTGAGTATTATAACAGATTTACTAGTGAAAATTACATTAAATTATGCCTCATTCTTTTATAAATTCCAGAAAAAAAGACAATAATTTTAGTTCAAATGTTTAATATAAAAGTACAATGTTAAACGGTTTAAAAATAGTAACAATATGTATTGAGCATGTAGTACCTGGCAGGTATTATTCTAGAGGCGTTATGTTGAACTCATTCGGTGCTTGTATTACAATATGAAGTAAGTGCTCTTACTATTAACACTTTATACTTGAGAAAATGAGGCAGTTGAGAAAGATTAAGTGCCTTGCTTAAGATCACAATCTACAAACCAGATTTGAATCCAGACACTCTTAACTCCAGAACCAATCTTTTGTCAATATTTATTATCAGATATTTCAAATATTCAGAAAGTTGACAGAACTGTACATTCAGCACCTGGAGTCTTCAGTTATCAGTTTATAACATTTGCTGTATACATATAGATATGCATTCTTCAACCTATTCACTAAGTCTTTTTTATTTTTGGATGCCTTATTTTAAATAAGTTGAAATACAAGTGATCTCACCCATAAGCACGTCATACTTCAGTGAGTTACTCAATGTTTGTTTATAAGATAAAACAAATAAATGCTCAAATCTTAAGGGTAGTATTGTAATAATTTTCACAAATGTATATACCTTTATGCTCCAAATGAGTATAGGATGTTGAACATTACTATCACCCCAGAAAGTTCTATCATCCTTCACAATCACTGCCCATTTCACTCCTAAAAATTAGGATTTTATCTCTTTCATTCCTTCATGTAAAGTGGATCATGTAGTGTGTGACCTTTTGGAGTAAGGCTTCTTTCATCCAATATAAACATGATTTAGATAATTACATATTTCCTAAAGAGTGGGGTATTATGCTGGGAACCACCTATATTCCTCCAAGTTAATGTTCATTATGCTTGTTCACCTTGATTTTACAGTTTTTGACTTGATGACTTTTGTTTTTTAAAGATTTATTCATACAGAACTGGGGTACAAGCCAGAGATGTGGCGAGTGAGAGGATTCACCAGAGACAGAATGGGGAGCAGAACAGGCAAATCTATGAAGTACACTGCTGAGGGGAGCAGCGGGCGGGTCAGGAGAGGTCTTCCACGCCATGTGGTCACCTCCAGGGCAGGCAGGGATCGAACTCATGTGGAAGTGGCTTTAGCTTCTTAGTGCTGTGCTTTAACCCGCTGTGCCATCAGGGAGGGCCTGACTTAATGACTTTTACATAAAGAAAATTTCTAGACAATCCCACTTGGCAGCAACTGCTCAGTGATTCAAGTTAGCAGTTAAGTTACCCCAGCAAGCCCAGTGGGTTTTTGATGTCTTTAATGTGGCTATATTATAGTATCAAATTATTTATATGTGTCTGAAACATAACTTGTAAGAAATTTTGTGGAATAACTTCAAAACACTCCTTGGTTAGCAGCTATCTCTACAACTCTGCTTTCTATTCAACAGTGGAGAAGACTTAAAACTCTTAAATATTTTTCTTCAATGTAAAATAATACACACAAGGATGTCAAGTAAGAACATGAGCTAGTAGAATTAGAAATATCTAATCCAACATAACAACTCACAAATTGTAGTCACTCACTAAGTGAGCTAATAATTATAATTACTGAATTATTACGCTTACTATTGATTCTTGCTCAGATGTTCAAATTATTATTTGATAGAAAATTATTTTTCTATAGTATGCTCCCCTATATCGATGCTAATTCTGGTCCTTTCCATTGATATCAGAGTAGTGACTTGTACTTTAATCAACAATATAAGATATTATTACAACAGAAACTTTGTTAGAGTCCAAGGATACCTGAGTTGTCTTTGATGTAATTCTTGCCAAAACTTACCTTTTAAGAAAGGCACTCTAATGGCAGATTAGCTAGTAATCTTTTTTTTTTTTGTATTTTTTTCAGGATTTTACACTGCATTAAGGTCACTCACTGGAAAGCATACTACCTGAGCCATATTTTATAAATTCCCCAGAGAAATGCCCTTACTGAATTATGATTTAACAATTAATAATTTACAATCTTCACTCAGCCATCTAGAATTTGGACATTAGCCAGTTCCATTTGATGAGTGTTTGCATTCCTTTGTCATAACATAGAAGACAATGCCTGTAATCTATGCATTCACCTAGTCAACTACACAAACTAGTTTCATTCAGTGTCAGCCTATCACTATGGAAGTCTTTTGGGATAACCAATAAAGTTGGGAGAGAGAAATAATACTCAAAGTCAGTTCTGCAAACTATGTTTTTTGTGTGTGGTCCGTTTTATAGAACATGATATCCATGGGGGAATTCTAAAGTTTAGAATTTAAGGAAAGTATAGCACAGGCTATATTATTGGGGTCTCATAATTAGTAGGGAGCAGAATGAAGAATCAAGATTATTGTTAGGAAGTGACAACGGAAAACGAAAACAAAAAGGGGAGATTGTATTTGGACTAGCGGCAGGTAAGTAGAATTTTGAGGTTTCAATGGAAGGTGTCCAAAAATATTTTCTTTTTTTTTTTTTTTAAAGATTTATTTATTTATTCATACAGAACTAGGGTACAGGCCAGAAGCTCAGGGGCAGTGAGAGGCTTCACCAGAGACAGAGTGGGGAGCAGAACAGGCTGATCGACGAAGTACACTGCTGAGGGGAGCAGCGGGCGGGTCAGGAGAGGTCTGCCACACCATGTGGTCACCTCCGGGGCAGGCGGGAATGGAACTCATGCAGAAGTGGTTTCAGCTTCTTAGTGCAGTGCTTTAACCCGCTGCGCCACCAGGGAGGGCCCCAAAAATATTTTCAATAAAGGCAGCTTCTTTACAGCAAGTTTACAACCTCCATTTTATACACTTTTAAGGACAAGTTTTTGGGTATTTTTTTCCCTAACTTTATTGTAGGACATTATAATGTAAGTTTTGGATACATAGCACTAGAAATTAACATTTGTATATATTCCATCAAGCTCACCACTCAAGCTCTAATTCTGTCCTTCAGCAACATTCTTTTATTCTTTATACACATATGTTTCATAATGTTTATTGGCAATCAGAATGAATCCCTTAAAGAAGAAAATACAAGAAGACTTTTATTGTAATCTGAAAAGATAAATGTAAAAATACTCTGTTAATGTAATGGTTTTGTTAATATAATGACTCATAGGTTTAGTTTAGTTATATTTAAGCTTTTAGGTCATGTGATACTCTATGAAATGTCAGTCCAAAGATTTATATTGGAAAGTTCACAATTATAGTTTGCCACCTTTCAATGTTTGGATACAATTAAATTGTTCTTCACAACAGTGAAGAAGTCCATGCTTCCTGATTGCTCGCAACAGGGAACTTTTTCTGCTTATATATACCTATTTTGAAAATAAGTATTTATTATCCTGAGCCAAATATATTCTGACTTCAACTCATTGATCCTAATTTATCTTTTTTAAGAAAAATATATGTTTAACTTCTTTTCTACGAAAGAATCATTCAGATACTTAGAAACAATAATATTCTACTTGAGTGTTTTATGCTTCAATTGATAGGTCATTGATTCTTTTACTTGGCCACAGATGGTTGAACCTAATCAACATTCTGATTCTTTTGGAAGACTCTCCAGTCTACATACATACCTTCTATCTGTGGTCATGGATTAAAGCAGAATAGAGAAGGACTGCCTGCTCCATTTTCATTCACTACACGAAAGTTGTATTAGCTTCCTTGGCAGGCACAAATCAGTATTGACTTGTAAGGCAATAGTGATTAAGTAAAGCCATTGGCTTTCTGTGGTACAAAAACATATTCCTCTTCCCCTGAACTTGTGTAGGTTGGTTGCCTTAGTTGAAATTTTAAAATTTTGTATTTATTTCTACTATAAATTATTCTATTCAGTTTCACTTATATTTTGAAGACATAATAATGTTATCACAATTAAAAATTCATATTTATTTCCTACCTATTATCTGCCAATCACTGGAGTAGGTAATTACAGCAATATTATTTTATCTTATACTATTTAACCCAAAGAGAAATCCCAATTTTATGACCATCAGGTTTAAAAATATTAACTAATTTGATTGATACCTCTCAGTACATTAGAAACAGAATTTAAGATATGGATGTAGATGTCTTCCAAACTTCATGATTTTATCTGTTTTATATGTTTATACTAGCAAAAAGGCTTGGCTCAATATAACACTATTTGACCTATATTCAAGAAATTCCATGTAAGAAACACAATTTCAAAAGTTATTAAATATTTTTAAGGAAGAATTTAATCAGGAGACATAATCAGAGCTATAAGAAGAGCTACAAAGCGTGAGATCCAGAGACAATATAGACTGCTTTTGAACAAAAAAGTCTTCTGTGTGAAATAATCAAAATTGGTCTCCAGTGACTTTAAAATCTTTCATTATAAAGGAGAAAATGAAAGATATACTTCAGAAAAAGAAAAATGATTCAATAGGCAAATAAATGAAGCAAAATTAGCTACTTCGTAAAATTACAAATTAAGTATGACAAAATGTAATGTAAAGCTTAAATTTTAAGAATGTTCCTTGGATACATGTATTTGGCTATTGTTCTTTTATTCATATCCTAATGTTTTAATTGTAGTTTATCCCAATTTACCACTTTTTGTATAAAACTGAAGAAAAATTATTTCTTGCAGGTAAAAATTGGAAATGGCTTCTCTAGAACCTAAGAGCCTTGTGCCTTTTACCAGAGAGTCTCTTGAACTTATTAAACAGCGTATTGCTAAAAAACACAGTGAGGAGCATGAAGAAGATTTAAAACCAAATACTGACTTGGAAGTTGGAAAGGAGCTTCCATTTGTTTATGGAAATCTTCCTAAAGGATTGATATCAGAGCCCTTGGAAGATGTGGACCCATACTACAAGAATAAAAAGGTAGGGCTTAGTGGAATTGATTGTGTTACACTTTCATTTTCTAGAGTTTCATAAAAATGTAATTGAAATGGTATGGAAAGAGAATAAATAATAAATATCAAAGTCATTGTAAGATATAGAAAACTGAGTAAGAAATTTCACATATATTTGAATTTTATCTAAACTGATAGGTTAGATTGTTTGGGGTTGGGCTATACTGTAATAACTTGCTAAATTTGGGGCTGGGGTAGGAGCATGTTGGTTATTTAAAGTTATTGATTTAAAAATAACAATGAAATTTCTATGATAGGTACAAACATTTCAAAAGTTGTTGATGTGCTTACTCATTCCTTAGAATAAAGCCAACCTATATTTTATTTATCATTTTTATTTATTCATACAATCACATCCTATCTTATCCCCAGAATAACTTCAGAAATCTACTAAATATTTTAACAATCCAAGAACAAGCACAACATAACAAAATAAGAATAATTATGGTCAGAAAAGAGAGATCTTTGTAAACTGAAAATGTTGTAAAATGCTTCATTAAGGAAATAGAAATGAAGTTACAGCTTGGTGAGCCTTTAAATTTTAAAATGGTGAAGGGAAGATATATTAACAGACACGATTAATTAATTCTGGAATAGGGGAGAGAAGGGATGGATATAGAGTTAGGACCCTATACTTGTGTTGTAATATGTGGGAAATAAGATGAGATAATGGATCAGTCAATATGGATTGAATGCAGTAGCCAAAAGACTAGAGTGATAAATGTTGTTTAAATGAGATTATTCTGTAGATTTCTAAATGTTTAGTGCATGGAATAAATAGTGTCAGAAAGATGTCATAGAGTGAATAGCCCAGTTCTGAAATCAAGAGGCCTGAACTGGATTATGGGAATGTTTTGAAAAGACAAAGATGTAATAAATCAGAGAAGAAACGAATGATCTGTGGACTAAAATGCTGAAGTTTCTAGCCTGGAAGATATTTGTGCTACTGTCCAAAAGAAAAAAAAAAAGAATTTTACACACACACACACACATATATATGTAAGATTGTGGGCAAATGTAATTTGATATTTTTAAGAACCTTATTGATATTTCCAAATGGGTGAAATGGAATTGAATCAATGTCCCTGGATGGAACTCAAAGTGATCATTTTGTTAACCACAGACTTCTTTTGAATACCTTGCTTTGTAGAAGAGTATTGGCATTTTGCAGTGTAAATGTATATATTAACAAAGAGACTCCAGTATTTCTGATAACCTCTATGGGTATTATGTATTATTATCTATAAAACACCTATAAAACTTTGAGAACATTTCAGTGTAAATGTAGCTTCAACCTCAGTTGTGTTCTACTTCCAGATTTGCTATGCTGAAGTCCTAACACTTTATATAACATAGTATAACCTTAGAGGTAACTTTAATACAGAAGAGTTCTGAGTTCTTTATATTGTATACTGATGTGGTGGGCAAATCTAGTGTTGTTGCTGAAAATAAAACTAATGATTATGAAAAATAAAACAAATCCAGTATATAAACATAACAGAATAAAAGACGTATTAATGATTACAAAATTATTAAGAGTTGATTATATTGTCTATTGTGATAAAGATTACATGCAAATAATTCTAAAATTAAATAATTTCAATATTAAATCATTAACTGGAAAGTTATTATGTCTGGAATTACTCATTTCATCACAATGACATGTAATCTGGTTATCTTGCAAATATATCTTGTGTGAAGTTTGAGGTTTTTCTGGAAAAATTCACAAAAAGCACATTTTTAAAAAGGTTTATTTATGCATACAAAACTGAGGTATAGGCCAGAGCTGCAAGGGCAAGGAGAGGATTCACCAGAGACAAAGTGGGGAGCAGAACAGGCCTACTGATGCAGTACACTGCTGAGGGGAGCAGCGGGTGAGACAGGAGAGTTCTGCCACGCCATAGGGTCATCTCCATGGCTGGAGATGGAACTTGTGCTGAGGCAGTTATTACTAGTTTTATAGTGCTGTTTTTAATCTGTTGCACAAGGGAGGCCACAAAAAAACACATTTTAGATTTTTTTTTTGGTCCTTTTAATTTGATTTGCAGTTTTAAATGGGAAGTTGGAAAATAGTTACAATACAGGCACAGATATCAGCTGATTATATGTTGAATAAGTATTTTATTGAAGAGAATGATAGCATAGAGTTAGTTCCATTTAAAACATGTATTCATAAAATATTAATATACATGTATTCACTAATATGTTTGTACAGATGCAAAAATATAAATGTCAAGTCATTTTATATACCTGAATCTCATTGCATGATGCCATAGTATATGAAAGATTATATTATATTCTGTATATTAGCACATAATAACATTTGATAACATTGTGTTGTATTCAGTATATTACATACTATTTGTTATAATCTATATAAATTTATGCACACATGATAAGTGAAATTTCAAAATGAATGTGTATGTATAGTAAAATTGTATATATGAGTGTGTACACAAGCAGATATATAAATACTTTCATTTATTATAAATACACAAACCTACATGTATTACACAAAATTTAAGACTAAATTCTAGGATATTTCTGAACTTTTGTTATATTTTTATTTTAATACTTCTCTATCCCAACATATTAGCTTTACATGATATAATTTTATTTTTTAATGTATTTATTTCAATAACATATCTATGGGTTATTACAAATAATTAATGTTAATTTTCAATGCTTTGTGTTGTTGTTACTATGCAATCACATGTTTTATTATGGTCTTGAAATAATTTTTAGAAAATACTTATTTATTTATTCATATAAGAAATGGTGTGATAGGTGAGAGGATTCACCAGAGACAGAGTAGGGCATAGACCAGGAGGATCTACTGAAATACACTACTGGGGGAAGCAGCAGATGAGACAGCAGAGGTCTGTTTCACCATATGGGTCACTTCCCTGGTCGGGGATTGAACGCATGCTGCAGTGGCTGTGGAGAGCTTCATAGTACTGTGCTTAAGCCCTTATGCCAACAGGAAGGGTCCTGAAATAATCTTTTTTAACATGTGGTACATTTTGGTACGTTTAAACGTATCTTAAGGAGCCTGCCTATTTGGGAGACTGAGAAAGAGGTGGTGCTTAAGCCAGGAGTTCTGGGCCGTAATGCACTATGCCATGTGGGTGCCCACACTAAATTTGGCATCAATGTGGTAACCGCCCTGGAGCTGGGGACCATTAGATTGCTGAAGGAGGGGTGAACTAGCTCAGATCAGAAACATAGCACTTCAAAACTCCCTTGCTGATGATTGTATAGCTTTGTTTCTATTACATTTGTTCTGCAGGAAAATGTGCATAGCAAGTAGCTTTCTTTGGTAGAACACTGGCAAAAATAATAAAAGATCAATTTTCCTAAGTATTAATACTTCTTTAAAAAACCATTTCCATTTAATTTAGTCTCTAAAATAATATGGATTATAAGAAACATGTAACAGAATTAATAACTGAATGATATGTTTCTTAGTCCTGATTCCACTTAATTTTTCCCCTTCTTACAGATTTTCATGGTATTAAATAAAAAGAGAATGATCTTCAGATTCGATGCCACCTGGTGTACATTGTCTCCTTTTGGCTCAATTAGAGGAGCAACTATTAAGATTTTCGTCCATCCATATCCTTTTCTATTGTCTTTAAACTACACTACTATAAAATGTAACTAATCTTTTAAAATGCTATGGCAGTCTTTTCCCTTTAGAATTGGTATATCATTGAAATCTGGGTTATACTGCTCTAAATGTTTCATATTTGAAAATACATTTAAAATATACTTTCTAACATACATGACAATAGTAAATATTCACAAATGTTAATTCTCATTGTTTTTTTTTATATAGAGAATATACATTTTGATATTTTAGAAACTTTTATCTTACAACCATGTACAGGTAAATAAACAGATTATAGAAACATTTCTAATATCATTTATTACTTGTTATTCCTTGACTGTGACCTACTTTTTTCCAACTGTCAATTTTAATTAGCGTCCTGATTGATTGCATTTTTATGCCCATGACTGAATTGCCAGAATGGGGCCCAGCATTACAGTAAGTTATGCATTTTTATATATGCTCTCATAATTAATTTTATATTTAACATATTGTACAATAGTACATTATATGTGATATACTATACCATTGTACAATTTAGTATTTAGTTTTATAGGTAATATCCATTGTATGTATGTAGTATTTATACACTTACACAATAATAATTATACAAAATGATGAATTTTCCAAATGAAAACAGATATATCGTTTAAATTTTAATGGCACTTCTTGCCCTTTTATTACTCCTAGTTGGATTTTAAATGTCTCTATTAGTTATGATGATCACATCTGAGGGAAGTAATCTTTTATTGTCAAACAATGATAAAATATATAATATCTGTGGTATTATACAAGTGAAGTTTTACTTTAAAATTAATTATTAATGATTACTATAAACTTTTCAGTGCCTCAGATTTATTTCAATTCCTCACTTAGTTTACTTCACATTTAAAATTGCTTCCTTTCCATTCCTAAGAAATTATTTTCTTCCCTTGTTTTCTGTTCTACTTTTCTTTCCTGAGGTACTTGCATAGTTTGACTTGCATGGACTACAACTGGGGTAAGACTTAGTAAGTTTTCTAAAGAAGCAGTCTTTTTTCATGATTACTCTCAAGCTTTAACATTGTTCTTAAAACTAGTTTTAAGAAGATAAAGATAATACTAGCTTGAAAGACAAATATAATGCTGATTCACCATAAGTCATTGACTATGCACATAATAAAGGTCTTTCTTACTGCCTTTCATTAAATTAATTATTTTATGATTTCTTTTTTTTATTTATTTGTGCATACAGAATTGGGGTACAGGCCAGAGACTCAGGGGTGGCGAGAGGCTTCACCAGAGACAGGGTGGGGAGCAGAGCAGACAGATCCATGAAGTACATTGCTGAGGGGAGCAGCGGGAGAGTCAGGAGAGGTCTGCCACGCCATGTGGGTCACCTCTGGGGCAGGCGGGAAGCAAACTCATGAGGAAGTGGCTTTAGCTTCTTAGTGCTGTGCTTTAACCCGCTGCACCATCAGGAAGGTCCAATTATTGTATGATTTCTAATGTGGAATAAGTTTGATGTTTAGTATTTTCATCATTTATCCAAATATACATGAAGACTGTAAACCTGGAGTAGGAACTTTTTGAAAAAACTGCTAGGTAAATTTCATGGTTAATACCACAAGATACATCCACCCTAGAAACTCTGGAGGCCTAACCTACAATTTAAGGACACATGCTTTTGCGTGTTGTGGTTGGTTGGTGGTTGACTGCTAGATGGTTTTCATAGACATAGTATTTCAGCACTGCCAATGTAGTATCTCACTTTTAACCCCATGGCATTTTTTTTGCAGGACAACTTTGCTTGGAATTTACACATTTGAAATACTTGTGAAACTCATTGCAAGAGGCATCTGGGTAGGATCTTTCTATTTCTTTGGTGATCCATGGAACTGGCTTGATTTCATTGTAACCTTGTTTGAGTGAGTATTTCTTTAGTCTGCAAACATCCCATCTTAATATTTTTCTGAGCAAATTCTTTTTATATAGAAACATTCACATTGAGAAAGTTATGTTTGCAAAAATCCAGTGAATAAAGAATAGTTCACGAATCCATAATCATAGTGAGTTCTCTCAGGTAGCGCTAATTGAACTGTTTTCAGAATATGCAATAAAAATAAAAGAAATGGGAAACTGTGTCCTAAAGGAAGCAAAAATAATAGAGACTTAATGTTTGTATTTTATTGTTTTTTTTTAAAGATTTTATTTGTTTATGCATATAGAACTGGGGTACAGCCAGAGGTGCAGGGGCGGTGAGTGTTACAATAAATTCTAGTTATTTGTATGTGTATTTATTTTTCAATGTTTTTATATAGTATACTTTTTTATGGACACCAGGGAGGGCCCAATGTTTGCATTTTAAATGATTATTTTCAATGAACAGAAAATCCCCTGTGATTTGGGAAATGATTCTAGAATAGCTCATATTATCTCCAATCTAATATTTATTTAATTACATTGCTTAATATCAGTAAATATTCTAACCGAATAAGGTATTTCACACACACACATAATCACAGTTTCTAGAGTGCTACAATAAATTCTAATTATTTGTATGTGTATTTATTTTTCAATGATTCTATATAGTAGATTTTTTTATGGTTAAGGAAATAATCACTGGTATCAAACTGCTATAAAAATTATGTGAAGTAATATTACATTTATAGGGTATTAAATACGTTTTTACAATGACCTCTATAAAGAACAGAATCAGTGTCTACTTGATAAGCAATCAAAAAATAGTAGCATATAGCTGGAATTATAATCATTACCACTTCTACTATTATTACCATTATTTCTGATGCATATATCTTAATTCTTTCTGTTGCTGTTAGCTGACACTTAGCTAATAAAGTTAATGTTTAAGGACTTCTTGGATTAGGCCAGGTGTTAGTGCATGCACTTTACACATATATTAACTTACTTAATCCTTACCAAATAATTCAGAATGGGAAGTATTATTATACCTCTCTTACTTTGAGGAGAGACATAAAAATGGTTAAGTAACTTTTGTTGTCACACAACTAGTAAATAGTGGAGCCTGAGTTTCCACAGAAGCAGTCAGGCTAGAGAGGCTACACCATTAGCTTTGGGACACCTTCTACCATCAGCGTCATTTTCCCAATCATTATCACTGTCATCTCATCATCAAAATCACCAACATCATTACCAATATCACAAGAAGCTTGCTTAATGAATTTTAATTTTTTAAAAGATGGATTTTTCTTATTTCAACTATCTTTTCTATAATTATATTATATATATATTTATGAATATAATATAACACATTGACAATAGAATAAGAGTACTCACACTATCAAAAGTTTATACACTCTTAGGATTTATTTGTGGATTAATATTTACCCAACTATCTTTTATTTAGTAGCAGCTTTGTTAATAATGCAACTATTTATAATGTGGAATAGTAAAGCATGGGAAACAATAGGATGTGTTTTAAAAATAATTTTCAGGGCCCTCCCTGGTGGCTCAACAGGTTGGGATGCAGCACTGCAAGCTAGCCGCAGCTTCCTCAGTGCAGGTGCGATCCCCAGGCCCAGAGGTGATAAACATGGCATGGCAGACTTCTGTCCTGCCGGCTGCTCTCCTCAACATTGTACCTCTATCTGCCTGCTCTGATCCCCACTCTGTTTCTGGTGAATTTTCTCACTGCCCCTGCACCTCTGACCTGTACCCCAGTTCTATATGCATAAGTAAATACATTTTTATTAAAAAAAATAATTTTCAAAGAGGCAAAAAAAAAAAAAAACGGAATTAAATAACCGTAATTTAATTCCACAGGCTTATAGGGAGATACTCACCTCAAAAATTCCTATCAGTCTTCATAATTGTAAGGAATTTGAGAATTCTGAAAATCATTCCTTTAATCCAAGGTAAGAATTGACACTAGCTTCCTTTTGTTAATTTTTGCCTTCTGTATTTTTGTATACTCATTTAAGAACTATTAAATTGAGCAATGTTTCACCTCTGCAATTAATAAATTATCTGATCTTTAACTTTATTAGTCAATCTAAGAAAGGCCAAAGTAACATCTAATTGTCATTTATTTGAGGGAGTATCAATATTTAAGATAATAGACTAATCAAAATATATTGGTTTTTTTGGATATTGTGATTCAGAAGTATTATGAAGTAGTTAGATCAATAAATTCAACAAGTGTGATAAGACTAAAAAAGACCTATAAGCAACTTAGGTCTGCTAGAGTACCTTGAAGAAGGCCAGACACTTGTATCCTATATCTGGACTGGACAAAAAAAGACAATTTAGGGTTGTGGTGATGGATACATACCTTGTGGTGATAGGGTAAAATAAAACATTGAAGAGAGCTAGGGAAAAAGAGTAGAGAGGAAGGAAAAGGAAAGGAAGGAAAATAATTTCATCTCTGAAGAGCAATTACATATTTTGGGGGTTTTATTTCTTCTTGTTTTCTGCATTTTCAGAATTGAGCATGTATTATTTAATACTTAGAAAGTGAATGTCCTTAAGTAAGTTTAGCTTTAAAGTTGAATTCTTGATTAAAGAGCATTCTGATATAAACACAATCTACATATATCACAGTTAGATGTTACTCTCAATACTAACCATAGAAATTCTTCATGATTTATTCTATCAGTTCCAAAAATTGAAATGTTAAAATGTATATGAGGGAATAGTACGAGCCACTGCTATTTCAAACTTTATTTTGACATTTGCAAATAATTTTGATTTATATCTCTATATCTTTTTTTTTTTTGCTTGTAAACAGTGGTGATTTGAATTTAAAGCAGTAACCAAGAGAGAAAGTTTGTCCTCTATGTAGTAAAAAGAAACAAACTAATAATAATTTTAAAGCATTATATCTGAATTATTGTCAAATATAATACATAGTATCAATGCAGAAACTTCTAAGTTTGAGTTTTATTCATTCTTATTATATTAAGATAATGGTGAATTAGATGATATAACATGTAGCTACTGGTGGAGCATACATTTGCCATGGAAGAGCTTACTAGTGTTACCTTTTTGATGTTGTTATTTTATTTTGTCAAAAACCAAAACTTTATCTTTCAGGTCTTAAGTCTTATGTAAGGATCCTTACCCATTGCTTGAGGAAACTTATTGGAATCATTCTTCTCACTCTGTTTTTTCTGAGCATATTTACTCTTATTGGGAAGGAATTTTTCATTGGCAAGCTCAAGCATAAATGTTTGCGATGGCCCCAACAAAACCAAACTGAAATCCCACACAACAAAACTGAGAATCCGTATTATGTTCGAGGTAAGAATCACTTGCTATCTGTGTCCATTGGTGGAGTGGTTTTCATAAAAATGTTCAACACTCAACTTCAGAACAAATTCAACATTAAAATAAACATCAAGCAAATGCCATAACTATGCTGATGTGCTAATTTATATGATTTCATTAGAATAACAAAGTTCCAGACTTCAGACAGTTAAAACAGGAAAACCTGTTTGGAATTGCTAAATTTACAAAGGTTATTCTTTAAAAGAATGGCTATATCTTATTTATAACTTCATAAGAGTAAAGTCCTCATCATACTATATTCAGTAAAGATATTTAAAATATAAATGTAGATTTACTCATTAGAAACTTTGAAGTGACCATATAAGCTTAAAAAATGGTCCACATTATAGAAATTTCTACTCTTGTTGGATTTCAATTACTATTGCCTATTTTAAATACTTTCAAACAAACTCATCTTGGGAAGCTATACTTTGGTATCTGGTGATAGCTATTTGGTTTATGTATTACCCTGAGGTCTAATTTTGAAAGGGATTCTCTTGTTTTTATTCTGATCTTTGTCATTCTGGGGACATTGAAGTACACAAATTGCCAGAGAGCTTCTGGCCTTCAGCATATACTAGATAAAAAGGGCAGTTTCCTAAATTAAAATAAGGTCAGGTTATATATTTTTCCTTCTCACTATAGAGAGAGATGTTCATCTTCTATGTAGTTTTAAACAGGCATATGGACAACATACAAAATATAATTTCTGTCCTATTTTTCAGAAACAGGCAACTTTTATTATTTGGAAGGAGAAAGATCTGCTCTTCTTTGTGGCAATGAAACAGATGCTGGGTAAATGTTGTTAATGCTTTCATCTATCAAGTTAGTTTTCAGCAATCACTAATATTTATTGAATGGCTGTTACTGCTTTTAATGATGGTTTTCATTTGATGACATCATCTCATTTTAATCATCAAAAGCATTCTGAAATATGAAATATGGAATACTATTAATTCAGTTTTACAGAAAGAAGCAATTGACAGACTAATTAAATTATTTATTCAAGGTCAACATGGCAGATCTGAGAATTAAACAAGGATCTAACACTATTTTCTGTGTAGCACAAAGCTAGTGAGAATTATCAAGAAAGACAATATTATCTTTTCTTTGGCCAGAAGCCTTTGGAGAAAAGAAATATTAAAGACATACTTTGATTTCATGTATTTATGACCTGCATATCTTGTATGACTACAGATTACATTAATAAAATATTTAATCTGATCATTCCACCAAAGATGTAAGTACTACTTATAAATTATTTATATGATAAATATTTTCTCAGCCTCAAACGATAATGTCTAAGGGTTTAGGATCAGTTCATTTGAAAATTAAACCCTCAATTACTATAGTAGTTTTATTCCTATCAGTGTTATTTTCCTTCAGTTGCACTTTATTTTTTGAAAGTGAAGTATAGGTAATAAACAAAGCTTTAAGGAAGGGCTAACAAAAGCCATTTGTGCTGCCCCCTTTTTTTTTTCTGTTAGCTTATCATGCTTCTTTTACAGCAACTTAAAATCTCACTCACAGCTTTTTAGCTGGGTATTGGCTGGGGAAAGACTCCCTGGAGAAAAAGGAGCCCTTTATTTATTATTAATGGGCAGATTGTACATTTATTGTTTGGCCATAAACTGAAAGTATCCTAAGAGTAAGCACTTTTTCTTTTCTTTATCTTCTTTAGTCAATGCCCTGAAGGATATGTGTGTATGAAAGCTGGTGCAAATCCTGACTGTGGCTATACAAATTTTGACAGTTTCGGCTGGGCCTTACTTTCCCTATTTCGATTAATGACACAGGATTTCCCTGAAGCACTTTATCACCAGGTAAGAATGGAGAATTTGCCCATGTGTGAAAGGGTGTTATGCTCCTCCCTTCTAAAATAATAGTCAAATATAATGTAATGAATTAAATTATTATGTAGAAAAAGTGGAGACAGAAGAAAAAGAACCAGAATATCAAAATATATGCCAGAACTACCCAAAGCTGAGCTCTTATGCATATCTCATTTAATCCTGAAAGAATACTACAGCGTCAGTCCATATATATGTATTTTGCTTTTTGTCTGAAGACACTTCAGATCAGAGCTGTTGGATAATCCTCACCAAACATAACATAAATGTCATTGCCCTATTCTCCTAATTTGTAATAGCATACATTTGCTATATTGATATGTGTGTGTGTGTGTGTGTGTATATATATATATATATATAAACTATATGTATAACTATATATAATACTAATATATATATATATTAGCTAAGAACATTATTAAGTACTATTTAGTTAACAAAAATTAAACCTATGAAATTACCATATATTAAACCATTATCTATAAATGCCTGCAAAGTGCTATTTCTTTTCAGATCTTCTATTTCTACTCATTAGCCTTTAATAGTTAATCAGTTATAATAGCAGTTTGCTGTTATGAGAGGCTTTCTCCATAATTGATATTTATAGTAGAATATACAGTGCTATTTTAGCAACATAGTTAACATCACAGGATTTTGTATAAAATTAAAACTTTGCTTTAAATTTCAAGTTTTTATAGTTGAAGGAACACTTTTTAAAAAACACATACATGCACACACACACACACACACTTTCCATGCTTTTTATGATTAGATAAATTATGGTGTGTAGTAGACATGTAAAGGCAATTAATAATGTTAATATAAAAATCCTTCAAATGTTTTTAAATTTCCATGGTATAAGTTTAAAATTCATATATATGTACATAGTGCCTCTCTATACTTCTCTATATTTATGTCCTAACAACATCCTAATATATACTTTCTGCTTTATTTGAGCATAAGAAAAGTTTGCTGTTTCCTAAATGAACTTTCTTACTGCATTGCCTAAATTCATGTTTCTATCTCTCTTTAGTCTCATACTTCAGACTCATGTCACAAAATCAGATTTCTTCATTGAACTTTCCCCACATCCTCCTTTCAGTTAGGCATATCCTCTCTGGAATTTCATGGTACCCTAAACTTGTCTGTTAGTTGTTTATATTTTCAGTTGCTTGTTTGGCTTTTCCTGTCACTGGGGGATATACTACCAAAGAAGTATTTATTATTACCTTAACTTTATGTGCTCAGCTCTAATACATAAAAAAGTTTGATGAAGTTTTAGTAAACAAAGTAATGAGTGAATACTTATGGATTGTGTCACTTTTTATAAGAGTAAATACCTTGTCTTTTTTTCTAATTGTTCTCAAAGTCTGTCAGCTAATTTTCTTGTTAATATCGGGTTAAAAGAAATTCTTTATTATTACACATGAAATGAGTATTCTGTCTGGGAGTGCACTGGTTTTGAAGTACATATAGGACCTTCATTGCTACTACATTCTAAGTTTTCATTGGCAAAAATAGGTAAGCTTTGCATTAGTTTGAACTGAACTTGGACTCTGCATATTACTTTAAACTGAACTGACTAGTGATAGGGAAATTTAGCAATTTCTTGAAAGTATTACAACTCTTGGTTGAGAGAATATTATTTTGCATTCACTCAACACAAATTTTTGATTGAAGTACTTTTAATATGTCATGGGCACAAAAATGAATAGTTTCTATTCTCATGGAATGAAGCTGTATTTTAAAATATTAAGGTTTATTGCATACTTGCCATCGGCTAATATATTCATATACATTGTTTCATTTGATTATCATAACAAACTAAAGATACAAGGGTAATTACTCCCCATTTCATAGCAAAATATAAAGAAGTGCACATTTTTCTATCCCATTAAGTGTTTACTTTCCTCTCTGTCAGCATCATATAAGGAAAAAGCAAAAATTTAGATTCAGGCATTCCCTCATAGATGTGAGATCTTTGGCAAGTCATTTTGCATACCTAATTTTCATTTCCCTTGTATATATTGGAAATAATAGTAAATACCACATAAATGTGTGGCACAGAGTTAATGAAATAGTGAACATGAAACATTTACTAATGTAAATGCTCTGTAGAATGCTTTTTAATCTCTATTACTATCTTCTTGATATATGACTTAAATGACAGCTAATTTAGAGGGGGAAAAGTCCCCCTCTAAATTTCAGGATTTACCAAATCTGAAATTAATGACTCACTGGGATAAAAAGGTTTATTAAAATTGCTTTTAAAAACAAATATATTTCAGCCCCTCCCTGGTGGTGCAACGGGTTAGGACGCAGCACTGCAACCTAGCCACAGCCACTTCAGTGCAAGTTTGATCCCCCACTGCGGGGTGACCCACATGGCCCAGCAGACCTCTCCTGACCCACTCGCTACTCCTCTCAGCAGTGTACTTCATCAATCTGCCTGTTCTGCTCCCCAGTCTGTCTCTGGTGAAGCCTCTCACCAACTCTGCACCTCTGGCTTGCACCCCAGTTCTATATATATAAATAAATAAATCTTTAAAAATGTTTATACTTCAAGTTAATAAGAAATTGCTTGATAAAAGTTAGAACTTCCTATTAAGCTATAAACATTCCTAACTATATTGTCAGCACAGTATTTCCTATAAATAAAACTTATCTGTTGATTCAAATAGATACTTGAAAATCATTACCATTTGTTTTATTGAATTGTGTTTATATTCTTTTAATCAGTAAGGATAAGTCAATGAGTATATTTTGGATTTGTGATGTCTTCTTATAAATTTATAACTTTAAATTTTCTGATCAATCTTTTATTGCGGGGGACCTTGACCAGCAAGGCCGGAGAGTCGGGGCCCCAGGTCCGGCGAACAAAAGAAGCAGTCACACGCGTGTAGCAGAACAAAGAAAGAGCTTTTATTAGGTTTTTATCTCAGCTTTATACAGGAGGAGAGGGATGCGAGGAAGGGAGAAGGCCAATAGAAATGCAACATGTTTTGGTGGCAGTTGGTCTCGCGAGGGGCGAAAATGGGCGAGAAAAGAAAGAAGAAAAGGAAAAGGTGGGGGCAAAGGGGTTCTTCCCACATGCCTTTTGCAACCCGGATGTTTTTCTCTATCCGGACTCCATTTCACCTTTTTATGGCTGTTGACAGACTCCAGATGCCGGCCTCGGTCCCCAACATTTTATGATAATTATGAAATAAAAGATAGTCAATACTCACTTTGGGAATGTAAAATTTTGTGATTTTCTAACCACAAATGACTCATATAAATGAATCATTAGACCTTTCCATGTAATTTGTCTAATAATTCTTCACCATAGCAGGTGTTCTGACACATCTAGAAGTGTTCCTTTTCCCCAGATTTTTTTTTTAAGATTTATTTATTTATGCATACAGAACTGGGATACAGGCCAGAGGTGCAGGGGTGGTGAGAGTGGGGAGCAGAAAAGGCAGATCGAGGAAGTACACTATGCTGAGGGGAGCAGCAGGCCAGTGAGGAGAGGTCTACAGTACCATGTGGATCACCTCCGGGGCTGGGATCTAACTCAGGTTGAAGTGGCCTTAGCTTTTTAATGCTGTGTTTTAACCCACTGTGCCACCAGGGAGGTCCCCTCCCCAGGCTTTTTAATAAACCTGATTTTGTAGCTTGTTATTCTTCATATATTTAGTCATCTTACTGAAAAAATAATCTTCCTTGTTAAGACTCTCCAGATTTTTAAATTGAACATGAAAGTTTTTTTTCTCTTTTCATGTTTTCTCTATTAATGAAGACATAGACATCAAATGCTCACCCCAAATTCATAAAATGACTACAGTCTTCCACTGACTTGTACCATATTTTGGACCTTTCATATATGTTTTGAAGTTGAAGAATGCTTTGCTTTTTCTTCAGATAGACCCAGTCCTTAAATTGTTTTGTGATTGTATCCCAACTATAGCTAAATTGTTTTCATAAAAAAATTTCATTTTAAAAATCATATAATAACACAAAAAGGTAAATAGTTTTTCATTCTTTTGTCCTATTTTACATCTCTCCTTAGATCCTCTATGCATCTGGAAAGGTCTACATGATATTTTTTGTTACAATAAGTTTTTGGTTTGCCTTTTATTTGGCAAGTTTGTATTTGGGCATAATTGCTAAGGCTTATGAAGAAGAAAAGCAGACAGCTACTGAAAAAGCTAAGAAGACTTACAAAGAACTTCAAGAAGGAAATAAAGCAGCAGAGGTATATATTTTTAATGTCTCTTATAATCAAATAATTTCAGTTATTGTCTAAAAGTTTTGGAATATATTTGTCTTGTAGTAGATGCCTCCTATCTATATGTGGCACATATTTATAAAAGAAAGTGATTTTGTTAAGATGTTTCATATTTAGGGGCCTCGCTGGTGGCGCAGTGGGTGAGGACAGAGCACTGCAAGCTGGCTACAGCTGCTTCAGTGCAAGTTCGATCACTGGCCCCCAAGGTGACCAACATGGCATGGCAGACCTCTCCTGACTGGCCCACTGCTCCCCTCAGCAGTGTAATTCGTCCATCTGCCTATTCTGCTCCCCACTTTCTCTGGTGAATCCTCTTGCTGTCCCTGCACATCTGGCCTATACCCCAGTGCTGTAGGCATAAATAAATAAGTCTTAAAAGAAAAAAAAAGATGTTTCACATTTACTAAAGATCAGAGTGCATTGTGGTAAAAGTGATAAACATTTTTAATATGTGTATTATATATTA